AGAAAAAGAAAAGATGGAACTGATGCCCAGCCATCAGGGAAAAGCTTTACCTTGCATGTGAAATAAACCATAAATATGCCATCAAAAAATAAATTAATACATAAGCTAAGAAATGAACACATCCAGTAAATACTGCCTAAGTTTCATGCCCCCCCCCAGTGTGGCTCCTCAGGGGCGGCATTCCCACAGGACAGGGCTGGTGTCAGGTCCTGTAGCAGTAGGGTGAGCAGGGCACCACAATCGACTGTTTCCCTGTTTTGTCACCTCAGCCTCTCAACATTAGCTCCAAATGACACAGTGCTTTGAGACACTGTCCCAGTGGAAACGGGGCACTGTACTCCCAGAGGTCCCTGTGCAAGCCTGGCCATGCCACCCTGCAATGTGGCACTTGTCAGCTTTAGAAACCAAGTTAGTTGTGCTCTGCTGCTCAGCCGAGGGACAGGATGGGCAGCACAGGAGCTCCAACCCCCGCCCATGCGCTTATTCCTGGACACACATAGCACATCAGGCCCATGCTAGAAGCTGCAGATACAGACATGAGGTGAGTTGCTGCCCTTGGGACAGTCACAGGAGCTGAGAGCCAAATGAGCAAACAGGATGACAGTACTGCGGGGCTTGGGGCCTTGAGAGATTGGGCCGCCTAGTCTGCCTGGATAAGATCTCCCTCCTGTAACAATAGCCACCACTGGGCCAGAACAGGGACAGTCAGGGATTTCATACATTGTTTTGTTTTATCCTTATACTTATAGGAGGTTATCTCCGTCTCACAGATGGAGGCCAGAGTCTCAGCTACTTGTCAAGGTCACAGAGCTTGGATTCTCACAGCAGCCTGGGCCTCCACAGTAAGTGGGAGGGTGTGTGCTGGCACAGGGGAGGTAGGAGGAGGGTACTGCTGGTAGAGGCCAGCGTGTGCCGCACTCAGGGACCAGGGGCTGAGGGGTACTGCCTGGTGCGCCCGGAGGCTGACACAAAGGGGCCAGATGGGCTGAAGCTCCCCCTCCTCCTGCGCTGGCCCTCCCTGGCCCCAGGACTGTGCTTAGAGCTTGTTTAGCAAGGGAATCCGGTCTCAAGAGTATGAGGGATATGGAGAATCCTGACTGGAGCACAGGATCCAAGACAGGGTGCATACCCAGGCATTACAAACATGAGCTGGGGACCTTCTACTACGGTGGTGTAGAGGCACCAGGCCAAGGCCCCGTCACTGCAGCCCAAGGCTCTCTCAAAGCAATTTATCAGAGAAGCAGCTGAGGAGTACAGCAGAGGCCCTGCTGGGGCAGCCTGTCTCCTTGCCTGGAGCAGAAAGAGCAAGCTGGGCCTGGTGGCTGGAACTGAGCAGTGTTCCACGGCCTCTGGAGACGGAATGGCCATTACTACCATTACTATGAGGCTGCCCTTAAAATAGGAAGATGACCCTGGATTGTCTGGGTGTGCCCATGTAACACCATGAGCCCTTAAAACAGGGAGGGCAGGAGAGAGATGCAGCAGAGTCCATACAAAGTCCCTGTGCGAAGGAAGACTCAACAAGCCAGGAAATCGGGCGAGGAGGAAGCCAGCCAACAGCCAGCAAGGAAATGGGAACATCAATACTCCAACCCCATGGACTGAGGTCGGATGACACAGAATTCAGAAGCAGAGTCAGGATCAGGGCACCAACAACTAGATTTTGGCCTCATGAACCTCAGGCAGAGGGCAACTGGACTTGTGACTCTTGGACATGGAGAAGACAACCAGTGAGCGCCATTTCAAACCAAGTGTGTGGCAATCTATTAGCGATGTCACTGGAAATGACTTGGATGTAAGCTATCCAAGGTTCCCGTGACCAAGGAGTGGACAGCACAGACTATGGGATTGGTGGCACGAGGACAGTCTTGTAAACGAACGAATTCATTCACTCTTGCATTCAGCCAGCATTCCTAGAAAGAACACTGGATGTGATGGAAGCACCAGCAGGGTGCCTAGGGACACTCAGTCAAACAGACCAAGCTAGTCAGTGGAGTCCTATGACAGGAATAAAGCCCCATGCTGTTGGAGGCCACGGAAGGCCACCTGTCCACCACAGACAGCTATGTAGGGTGGACTGTTCTCAAAGACAGTAGTGGGGCCATGGACAGGGATCACGTGTGGCCCATTCAGGGGAAGGGAAGCCAACTGCACACTGGACCAGGTGGCACCCAGACCACAGGGGCACTGGCCAGCAGTGGGCCTGGGTGAGCTCAGGGGAGCCTCAGGTCTGGCAGGGAGGCTGGGACTACAGATGCCAATCAGAGATGCTGGAGGAAAAGAAACGCACCTCAGGACGGTGACCCTTGGATGATGTCAGCCCCTGTCCTCTGGGCCCACACTCCCCAAACCCCATGTACCCCAACTTGGGAAAGGCAGGCCTGCACTGGTGGCTGTAGTGCTGCAGCACTACACCCCACACCCCTTTGCAAATTGATGAATTTACACTTCGGTTTGTGTACCTGCCCCAAGAGTGGCTGTGCCATCCAGCACCTGGCACACAGCAAGCATTATCTTTACTTAGCTTTAAAGGTAAATAGAGACAAAATCAAGTCCCCAAGGCTGGTCACAGACGAGGTGAGTCCAATGTACAGAGCAGAGGATCCAGGACTGCAGGCTCAGGAATCCCAGCTGGGGACAGACAGCAGACAGCATTTCTCTCCTGGCAGCTATGGCACACACTTGGAAGCTGGCTCTGACCTCCCTCGGGAGTGGAGCAGCAGGGGCACACTGCACCATGACGGGACACCTCAAGACCCCTTCCTTGGAAGGAGACAGCCACGCACTTGTCCCGAAGCAAGAGCTCTAGAGACGGGAAAACAGGTTCCCAGACTCCTATCTTTGCCACAAAGCTGGCACAGAGGCCCTCAGGTTAAGTTATGCTGAAGACTAGAGAGGACTTTCAACTGTCCTAACAGGGTCCAGAGGACCGGGCTCAGCCATTACCTGCCTGAGGGGCTGCTCTGCTCTCCCATGTGGTATATTAACCACCTGCATATCTCCAAATGCAAAGTTCCATGTATTGGTTCATGTCAGCCTCAAAACAAGTCTACATGTTTCTACCAGTCCATTTCACAGCTGAAGAGAAAATTGGAAAGATTCAGGGATGTTCAGTTAAAAAAAAATGTTTTAGCTGATACATCCTTCTGGAAAGGAATCAGTACCTAAAAGGCCAATGTGCAAAAACAGATTATCCAGCTGGGGAAGAGGGTGGTGGTAGAGGAAGAAAGGCTAGAGCTCCACCTAGGTGATTGCCCTGAAGGCCCATGTCTATGTTCAGGATTGAACCTGAACACGGGTGGCACTCCTTCAGTGGAGAGTCCTTCCCCCCAGGGCCTCCCAATTGCTCTGGCAGAGAGGGGAGCAGGTGAGATGTGGAAGAACTCTGAGGGCTGGGCCTGCCCACCCCCCGTCGTGATTTACGAGCACCCTGATGCCCACCAAGTACAGGGAGAGCAGGCTCCTGGGTCCCGACTGAGGCCTCCATTTTCCTCTAAGTGGCTTGGGAACAGGGGCTGTGGGGTGTAGAGCACCCCCTCTCCAGAAGTCCTTCATTGTTACCCCACAGAGACCCTGACAACCAAGGCTTCCTCTGCTGCCCTTCCCTACCTCAGAGCCCAGGGCTTTCATGTCATACCCACTTCAAGGAACCTAAAAGCCAGGAAGGATAAGTAACCCAAATCTACCGAAGAGGGGCCAGTGGAGAAGAGAGGGGAATCCTCTGGGGTGTGCCCAACTGGTGAGACAGGGGTTCTCCAAATCACAGACCTGCTACAGTTCTGCTGGCCCTTGGTGACCAGTCCTCCCAGATTAAGAGACCAGAATTAGGCCTAGAAAGAAAAGGTGGGGCCGCCGCCTGCCTTGAAAGCACAGGGACCTGAGTTTGATCCCTGGTACCGAAAAGAAGAAAAAAAAAAAGGTGGATTTGCTTCCTTTCCTCAGTTGCAGGGTGGCAGAGCCTGGGCTAGAACCTAATGTTACTGACCTCTAGTTCAGCCTTTTACCCAACACTGTTCTGCAAAGAATCAGACCTAGACACAGCCAAAAATTTCAAAATGAGGGTAAGGGACTTGAAGTTGGGAACCTTGAATCTAAGTCCTCACTCCTGGTCTAACCTCCTGGGGACTCCTCCAGGAGCAGAAAGAACCCCTCTCCAGGTCAATTTCCTCACCTTTTCCATCAGGACGTTGTTTCCGGTCCTGTGGGGTCTAATACCCTGGCAGTGCCATCCACTTCCAGGAGAAAGAGGCAGGCACCAGGGCACCGCTGCCACCTAGTCACTGGGCACAGCCATTTGCAGGCAGCCTGACAACTCTGCGTCCCCCGCCAGGAGGGACTCTGCCCCGCGAGCCACGCCAGCCACGCTTCAACCGCACACCGGCCTCTCTCCCCACGCGTGGACGAGCCCACCGCCTTGCAGCGCATACAGGTCTAGCATAAGTGTACGTGCGTCCCGGGCAGTCACACGCTCCGCCGCACTCACCCCCTGGCTCACAAGACTCCCACACTCGCCGGCCACCCGCCTCCGCTCGCGCACACGCGAGC